CCACGGTTAACCACAGCCACTGCGGCGCCGCAGCCCTGCCCGCCAGCGCCACAGCCACCACCACAGCCAAATCCATTTCTGGGTGAGCCAGCACAGACACGGCCAAGTTCAAACGACTGACAGCACCTGAAGTCCCTGTCACCTGAAGTCACCTTGCCCCAGGTCACAGTGACTCCCCTGCAGCCCTGGAGCTGGCTGTGAGTGCCCATCCAAGCCCCCTCCCAAGCCCGGGTGCTGCACCCTCAGCCCCAGCCATGGACGCTGAGCCCCAGGCACAGGAAGACAGCAGAGAGGCCAGCACCGTTTTATAGACTTTTATTTCCAAATCTGGCGCTTCCATGATACACTTTTACACAGCTAGGTGGGGAGCATGAGCATCCCCCTGCTCCCTGCCCACAGAACGGGGAGATGGAGAGAGGAAAAAAACCCCAGCCAAACCCCCCAAAGAAACAAAGCCAAACCCAAGGAGGATGTTCCCCAGAGCCCAGGCCACAGCACTCGGCTCAGGGACTGAGCCACAGCCTGACTCCTGCTTCTTGCCTGGCCCAGCTCTCCAGGGACAGCCATCAGCTCCACTGCTCTCTTCCTTTTTGGCACTTGTCACTTGCTCTCCGTTTGGCACCAACACAAAACACCCTCATGCCCAACCTGGTGGAAAAGTGGGCCCTGTGGCACAGCAGGGACAGCACACGGGTATCCACCAGGCTGCCGAGAGGATAACACGGCCTTGCGGAGTCACAGCCCAGGGCTCCGATGCTGTGCAGCCAGAGAGAAACACGTAGATGAGTTTGTTCATGAAGGCGAAGTTGAGCAGCACGGAGGGGCATGGCTGTTCCTGGTGTGTGGGCCAGCGAGTTTTCCCTCTGCGTGCCGGTCCCAAGTGGCATGTAAACATTTCCCTCTCCATCCCCTTGAGAAGGGCAGCAGCAAGCCTGCCTCACCTGGGCTGTGCCGGGGGCAGGCAGCCCCTGCCAGGCCATGGCACACCTGGCCCCCAGCCCCTCCATGTCCTCCCTGCTGACCTGGGGACAGCAGAGAGGCCTTGGCATCCCTGGGGACCCAGAGGACAGCAGCACAAGTCCTCTCCAGTAAAGAGGTCAGGCTGGGCTGCAGGTAAGCAGCTAGGGCAGCGTAAGGCAGTAAGGAGGGTGCTGTCATGCAGCCCCGAGAGCACCACGGGGGCAGAGGCACCGCACTTGGCCAGTGAAAGGGTGAAAGGGAGCGTGCCGGTCCCCCAGGCCGGCTGCCCCTGGCCCAAGGCTGGGGTAGGCACAGTGGAGGGTTGCCTCACGGAAGGGCCAGCGAGAGCCTGGGGCCCTGGCCAAGCAGAGAAACCATCAGGGCGACCTGAATTTCCAGAGAGGACAAAGTGCTGTTCATCTCCATCTCCCAAAATCCAGGCCGCTCTGAGCTGGGGCCCTCTGCCAGCCTAAGAGTGCAGGGATGTGTGCGTATGTACACAGAGCCCGCAGGGAACTGGCTGGATACAGCTTCTGTGGGCAATGCTGGACCTCAGGACTGGAGCCATATCATGTTCCTGCAGCTGCTAATGCTTTGCAGGGCAAGTGCTGGCTCTGGGAACAGCCCAGCTGGCTGCTGAGCAGGGCTAGGGGCATCCAGCGCCCTACCTGCACCCACAGACCAACAGATACTTGCTTTGTAACACACAGGCTAAAGAGCACAACATACAGTGGGTAAAAACATAGCGTTCATTTGCTGAGCGGAGGAAACCAGTGCTTACAGGAGCAGGATCATCCTGGCGCAGGATGGGACTGAACAGCAAAGCTTGCTTCCTCCCACAGCAGGTCCCTAGTGCCGAATTAGCGGCCACTCTCGCTTGTGCTCTCACTGGTGCACAGCCCTGGCTCACAGATCAGGGGCAGCCCCAACAGGGGTCCCAGAGGAGGGCAGAGGAAAGCCCGGCTGTGGGGCCAGGATGGCTGCAGGGGCTGAGCGACACCAGGCAGGACGGCGCCAAGACAGGCGTGGAGCTGCGCGGTGGGAGGGCGAGAGGGGCAGCGGGGCCAACGGCCTCACCGTGGGATGGGACGGAGCGGTGCTGGCAAAACCACCGCCTGGCACTGCCCCTCCTGCCCACTGGGACGAAGGTTCCTGGTACCCCCAGGGACACCAGCAAAGGGCTGTTGGTGAGACAAATGCTCCAGGTCCTGGGAACAGACCATCCGTAAAAATAACCATAGAAATTTCTCTTCTCTCTGATTACAAAGATACAAAAAGGTAGAAAACCCTCCCCTGTCCCCATGTTCTGGGCTCTGTTCCTGTCCCCTGCCCCTCCCTGTGCACACCATGCACACCCTGTGTACAAACGGGTCGCAGAGGAAGGCCCCAGGGGGGTCAGAGACCTTGCCCAAGCCTGGACACAGGCAGGCGATGGGGGGCAGCGTGGCAGCAGAGAGCCTGGAGGCTCCCAGCGCTGGGTGGTGGGGGCTGCTGGCCCCTCGGCCCGGAGGGCAGGGGAAAGCAGGGTCGTTTTTGGGCCTCTGACCACCATCAGTTCTGGCCCCTGCCCCCTAGGGACACCAAACCTCAGCTGGCAGTGCCTGGCTAGGCGAAGGGCCCTGCTTCTTCTGTCTCTCTTGTGGACGGCTTCGGCGCCTCAGGAATGGCCCTCGCTTCTTGTTATTCTTCTCGGAGAAAAGAAAAAACAGTGTTAAAGCCGTGGCATCTCCCCTGGGCTCCAGCTGCCTGCCCCAGCTATGCCGGGGGGGTACAGGGCAGAAACCCACCCCTGCATCAAGAACAACTGTGTCCAAATCCCTGAGTTCAGGGAATGGGAAAGGAGGGGAGGGATGGGATGGGAGCAGTACCAGTAGGGAGCAGAACTGGAGGGGAAGAAATGACAGACTGGGACAGGGTGCCTGAGGAGAAACGTGGCTGGGGCAGGGAGGGCTCCTATAGGATTCGGGCTCCCTCCTCCTCTCCAGCCAGCCTGGCCCACACACACGTCTGCTCATGGGGACTTAAAGCTGGCACTGAGCAAGGGGACCAGCCCAATGTGAGTCTGACTGCACAAAGCGCCTTCCCCGAGCACCCACTGGCCATGAGTGAGGGCCATCGCTTCTGGCAGAGTGGGCAGACTCAGACACACTGATGCTTCTGCTCATGCTGCACTGCAAGGGCCCAGAGCTGTCACAACTGAGGGTTCTCCCTGCTCCATCACGATGTGGGACCAGCCACTCACCCCAGGGACTCACTCTTACACAGCTCTCCCCTTTCAAACAAAATCCGCTTCAGGAAGAAGCCAGGACCAGCTGAACAAGGCCTGGCCGAGGCAGGGACGCACTTACTCTGAGTCTGGTGACAGCTCCGAAATGCTGTGGGAGGTGGCAGAGCGAGGCGTCGAGGGGCACATTGCGGAGGGCACTGAGGAGGTCTGCATGGCAGAGGGAGTAGTGGTGGTCTGGGGGCCCGAAGGTATGCTGGAAGATTGCACCGAGGACAGGACGGAGGAGTTAAAAGAAGCAAGGATGGAAGAAAGGATATCTAACTGCTCAGTGGAAGGATGCCGGCTGGGAACAGCCTCCAGGTTCTCTCTAGAAGGCTGTCTCCTCGACAGCGGCTCTAGGCTTTCCCTGGACAGTTGCCTCCTGGAGAGGCTTCCCAGGTTGTCCTGCGAGGGATGCCTGCTAGGCACTGTGTCCAGAGGCTCTCTGGAATTGGATCTTCTGGAGAGAAAGTCCAGCTGCTCCCTGGAAGTTTGTCTAGCTGACGCTAGTTGGTCCCTTGAAGGCTGTCTTCTAGAAAGCAAATCCAATTGTTCTCGAGAAGTATCTCGACTGGGCAACACGTCTATTCGGTCTCTGGACACTTGCCTACTTGGCAATGTGTTTAGCCACTCTCTAGAGATCTCTCTAACTGGCCCACAGTCTAGCTGCTCTCTTGACCCAAATCTGCAGGGTAAAGTGTCAAGGTGGTCTCTGGAGCCCTGCCTCCGCGGCAGCGTGTTCCCACGATCTCTCTGACTGGGCCTAGCAGCAAGTAGATCCAAGTTTTCCCTAGATCCTTGTCTGCTCGGGATGCTTTCCAGGTGTTCAGCAGACCCATGCCTGCTGGGGATAGTGTCCAGCTCCTCCCTGGACCCGTGCCGGCTGGGCACAGCTTCCAAGCACTCTCCTGAGTTGTGTCTGCTCAGCTGCTCCCGGGACATCTGTCTCCTCATGAGCATGTCAAGCTGCTCCCGTGAGGAGTACCGGCTGGCTGGCTGCGACAGGCTTCCCGCCCCGGAGTAGATCCGGCCGTAGGAGGCGGCAGGGACAGCGCGGTGACCCAGCGTAGAGGTCTTGTACCACGTCAGCTCGTTGGTCATCCTGCCGATGGACGGCAAGCCTTGCAGGGTCGGAGGGTACTGGAGACGGTTCTTCAAAATCCCTGCGCCGGACAGAAAGAGAAGTCAAATGTTTGCATAGCAGTGAGAAGCACATGAAAGATGAGGGAGAAGCCACAGCTCCCCCAGGATGTTACAAGAAGGATCCGATGCTGAGCCTTCAGGGCCACAGCAACCTGAGACAGGCCAGGCCACCCTTGCATACTCGCTCCAGGCTGTTACCTTTTCTTTGCCGTTGGGTCTGGGTGAGGGAGTTCTCATCCCCACTGGTCAGGGCCAGCTCTGGCTGATTATTGTTGGCCGCATCCTTGTTGATGTCAAACCCCAGCTTCCTCTCGGAGCCCCACTTCTGCAGGGAGCAGGGGTGAACCTCGCACTCGCCCAGAGCTGGCCAGTAAGACATGAGGTCGTTGCCATCCACGTCTGGCGAAGAACACAGCAAAACAGGCCCCAGGGAAGAGGGAGAGAATATTTCTGTGAGCAGCAATTGAAGCCATCCCAAGACCTGGCCCTCAGGGACCTGAGCTCACCCTTTCCCCTGCCAGAGCCCCCAGGACTTGCCTTTGGGAGCGGTGTTAGCGGGGTTCGTGAGGAGGCGTTCGCTATGCGCCGCCCGCTTGAACTGGCGCTGGAAGCGGCCCCGCAGGCGCACGTTCTCCTCGCTCTCCGAGGACGCGATGGAGAGACTGCGCTCCTCATCCAGGGACAGGTCGCTGTCCGAGTCCAAATCCTCGTCTGCAGGGACAAGGCACGTGTTGGGGAGACATTTGAAATGAAGGTGCGTGGGCCTTTTCAGCTCAAATAGGGAAGGACAGACTCATGTCTGCGAGCATCTGTCACTTAAATGACCGAGTCACTGAATAACAGAGACCAGGAGGGACTCAGGTCCCTGCTCAGACCCCTGCCCGGGCTCCAGCTGCCTTCAGGAAGGCAGAACCACCCTTAAGCAACGAGTTAGTTTGGGATGTGCTGGGTCGGTCCCAAACCCAGGCACGGGGCCGAACCTTACCTCCTCTGGCATTGCGGTGGAACATGGCCACGTCGATGTCCGTGGGGCCAGCGTGGGCCAGCAGGCTGTGATCCAGGGCCGAGCCCTGACGCACCGTCACGTTGTCTCTGAAAGACACAAAGCCCAGACAGTGACAGCAGCAGGAGGCCTTGGCTCTGCCCCAGCGCTCCCAGCACCCCAAAGCCCCGCGCCGCTCCTCACCTGAGGTAAGGCCGCTGGCTGGAGTGGGTGCGGGCAGAGCGCATGCTGCTCACCGAGGAGATGGTGGAGGCGCCCAGGGTGATGCGGATGAGCCCGCTCTCCTCAAACAGCGCTGTGTTGTTGTAGGCACTGGGGCCCTGGTGAGGTGGGGAGAGAGGCAGGGCCCCGTTAAAAAGGCACCACAGCAACCCAGGGGATGGCCCTTCCACCCGCACCCGCCATCCCCCTGTGGAAGAGGGGGTGTTCCCATCAGCTCCTGTCCCAGACAGGCTGTCCCCTTGCTCCTGCTTTCACCCACCTGCGTGCTCCTTGCAGCCTCCTCGCTCTGCCCCTTCTTGCCCAGGCAGGCCAGCTTCCAGGCCTCTCGCACCTCCTCATTCAGCACGCAGAACAAGAGCAGCACAGCCAGGCCCTACGGGGAGAGATGCCATGAGAGACAGCCCCTCACTGCTGGCCACCTGCTCGCCCATAGTGCCAGATCTTGGCTGCTTCCTGGCTCCTCCAGAGCCCAGCGTGTTGGCTCTGGTGGCCACCAGGACAGGGGTGTACCAAAGAGCCCCTCGAGGCTGGTCAGCACCAACCCCATGGTGGCCAAGGGTGAGAGAGGAAAGGCTGGGGTGTCCCCCTGGTTGGCAGCAGCCGAGGAGCAGCTGGCAGGGGTCCTTGCAGCAACACCAGCCACGGTGGCGGTCTGCGGGGTGCTGCCATGGGTCACATTTGGGGTGCCCGACACCTCCATTGCAGGCCACTCTTCTTGCTCTGCTCTCTGAGAGCAGGGACATCCTTTCCCTTCAAGGATGGTCCTCTCTGCCCCTTGGATGTCACCTCTGAACCAAGCACCTTGCAATCACCTCCTGCTCCGTACCACTGCTCGCCGTGGGCACAGCAGCACGAACTGGCAGGAGTCACCCGCTGCCCCAGCGGTGACAGTGGCAGGGACGAGGAGCCCAGCGCGACACTGAGGGCTCAGTGGGTGCCCACTCTCCACAGAGAGTCATGAGGACCACAGGGACCACTGCTCTTCCTGGGCTGACCCATGCCCTCCCCTGGCAGAGGCCGGGCAATTACCTGGAGGCTGCAGAGGACAGTGTAGAGGTAGTGGAAAGCCAGGACACTGTTGTTGACAGCCAAGAGGCCAAAGAGCCAGGTAGTGCTAATAACTAGAAGCAGAACAAAGGAGCTCCGTAACGTCATGCTGAAGAGAGAGAGACAGACAGACAGGCACATAGACACACGCCAAGAGGTTAGTGTGTGTTGTTAATCTACAGCCTGGTGCTCACAGACAGAGATCCAGAGGGGAAAGCGTGCTCCTGCCCAGCCCTCCCTGCTGTACCCAGCACCGCAGGCACACCGCTGCGCAGCAGCTTGGCTCCCCACCGACTCCCAGGCCTTCCCTTCTGGATCACATGTGGCAAACAGGCTCAAAGGACATGAGTCATTTGGAGCCGCAGAGAGCTGAGCCAAGCTCCAGGGCTGGCCCAGCAGGGAGCGGCGAAAGGTCTCAGAAAGAGCATGGAGGAGAAGCAGCAGGCACTGAGAGGTGACAGGGGCAGAGTGTTGAATCCAAGCAGACATGAGGAGGGGCTGTGAGGGCAGGCAGTGAAGGGGGACAGGCTACCGGGACAGTGTGGAGATGGGGATGTAGGAACAAGAGGAAAGGACGAAGTTTAGGAAGGGTTAATGTGGCCAGCAGGTGTGGGAGAGGAGAGCAGCTGTAAGGCTGGCACTGATGCACAGAGGAGCACTCTGCGATGGTGGAAGAGGGAGGATGATCACTGGAAATGCTAAAATCCACGAGCCACAGGAGCTCAGCTGGGAGTCTGGCCACTAATACTCACAGAACCGATTTCTTCTTGGTCTCCTTTTGACCTGGGGAACAGGACATCTTGGCCACAAGCAGGAACATGACCCCATTCATCTGAAAGCGTTGGCACCGATTAGAAGCTGTGCCAAGAGCCAGCTCTGACCTGACAACCCCAGCACAGAGCGTGGGCAGACTCCAGGTCCACCAGGCCCATGCAAAAGTCCCCTCCTTTCCCCTTCATGCCCAAGCCATGGCCTCCCCCAGGTTTGGCTGGAGCGAGGAGGGACAGAAGAGGGCCTCTAACTGAGGAAGGAGAGTACAGTGAAGGGGGCAGGCAGTGGGCAGCCAAGGAAGGGGCGAGTGCCCATGGTGTGGAGAAGGGAGCAGGAGAGGGCTGTGGGTGAAACAGGACGGGGTTTTACCACAATGACGACAGTAATGGGGCCTGCAAAGCTCCAGACCAGCTTATCATGAATGGAAATCCAGCAGAAGTCAGGGTTCCCGTAGCCCTCAGGATCCAGGCCAACGGCAAGCCCTGAGGGAAGAAGGGAGAGGTCAGGTCCAGACCCAGCAGCCTTGGCCTTGCCCAAGCCATGCCAATCCCATCCCAGCACTGAAGGCCACAAAGGAGCACCCTCCCTGCTCCTTGCCCTGTGCACAGGCTTCCCTGGCACAGGTGAAAGTGCCAGGATCACGAGCCCCAGCATCAGGGCCTTTATTTCCTCTTCTCCAGGTGTCCCTGACACAGCCCAGCAGGCATTCACTGCTAACAGGTCCCTCAGGCATGCAGGCTTGGGAAACCAGGAGAGCTTAACCACAAGCTTTGGGACAGCAGGAGACCTGTGGCCACTGAAAAAGCCATGGGGAGATGGGCTGAGGAATTACTTCTGCCCAGGGGGCAAGATGACTGCTTTCGATACGTGGTCCCCAGCTGACCACCACATCACTGCTCGCCGTGAGCACAGCTGGCCATGGCAAGCCCAACCTCAGCTCTCCCCATCGGGTGAGTGAGCCAGGCACCAGAGGGTCAGGAGGCTGCTGAGAACTGGCCCTTTCAGCACGGCTGTAGGACAAGCAGCTCTTACCAGTGATGATGGCGGGCACTCCCCAGCCGATGGCGTAGTAGAAACGCATGGCCCCGAAGTTGACATTGCGGGCCTCGGTCTGCATGCGGTAGATATGGAGGCCCTGGACGAAGAGCCAGGCAAAGGTAGAGAGGAAGAAGCAGTGGAGGAGGATGGCGATCACAGTGCAAAGAAACTGGGGAGACAAAAGGCACTCAGAGATGGTTCCACTGTGCCAGTGCTAACTGCGTCACCCACACCTCAACCCCGCCTCCATGAGAGCGCTTGTTCAAGCCCACAGACCTGGTTCTCAGTGCGGTTGATGCCCAGGAGAAAGAGCAGCTCAGAGAAGAAGAGGGTGACCGATATGTTGGAGTGGATGCCACGTGTGTTGGACTTGAGGCCTTTGAGGCAGGTCAGGAAGGAGAAGGTCAGCAGCAGAGCCACCAAGGAGAGAGACACCAAGGAATAGGTGACAATTGCCAGTGTCTCCAGGTCACCTTCCAGTTGCTGCAGCAGCAGAGAACCAAAGGCAAACGGTGGTGTTAGGGGAAGACGTGGGAAGCCTGCTGAGCTCTCAGACTCTACTTGCACCCCACAGGGAATTTTCTGCCTGTGGCCACTTATTCTGGAACCCAGTGGCCAACAGTTCCCACCACTGCCCATAGCCCCGCAGGCTGAGGTTACCTCTCGGTGCGAGCTGTCCATCAGAACCCCAAAGGTGCCAAACTGGGAGCACTGGCAGTGGACGTGTGTGGTGTTTCGGTACACGAGCTCACAGTCCCTGGCTGTCCAGAAGCCAGCAGGGTTGGTCCTGCAGCCACCAAAAAGCAGAGTGCACTTAGGAGAGAAGACAGACGAGTGTGGTGTGTGGGGAGACAAGAGGGGTGATCGGCACGCCATTTCTACCAGCAGATACAACTGCACTCCCACAGCTGACGGATGGGAGCCAGAGCTCTGCAGGGATCCTGCTGTGCCCTCCCAGCATGAACGGACTCCCTGGGAGAAGGTGGAACCCCCCACATCCCAGTGCTGCCCAAGCACAGAGCTGGTCACGGCCAGGGAAACTGAGGGAACGAGGAGGTGCCTGGGGGAAGCAGCTCAGAGAGAGCGGCCCAGCCATGCTCGACTCACAGGTTGGAGTGGTTCCACTGGACGCAGAGAGGTTTGCTCCTGTTGGCCGTCTCCAGCAGGCGAAATTCCAGCACAAGAGGGGTGTCCAGGGGCCCCCGCAGGAAGGTGTGATTGCTGAACACAGACACGCTCACGATAGGGGAGTTCATCACAGGGTTCTTGGGGAGCCTGCAAGGGGCAACAGGGCTCTACCATCACCGTGTCTGTCACCAACACAGGTTTCCTGGGGTCAGGAAACACTGAGCAGAGCAACACCAAGGTGGGGAACAGGCAGAGCACCGCAGGACCGTCTGGCTGGGAACCAAGCCCAAGCCATCGCAGACCGACTCAGCAGCTACTAGAGGGTGCAGAGCAGAGCCCAGCCAGCTTCTCTCCACCGTGCTTGTGGAGGGGAAGGGGAGGAGGACGTACCTGACGCTGCGGCGATCCACCTGGTAGCGGGCAGGCAGCAGCCCCCCCAGGGTGCGGTACATGATGAGGATGATCACAGTGAGAGCGGGCTCAGGGTCCGGCAGCGCCTGCCTCGGGGAGGAGTTCTCCACAGTGTAGTTCCCTTCGCCCCCAGCCAGCGTGGGCACCGCCGTGAGGGCAGCTGGGGCACACAAGCAGGCGGTGAGAACAGACACACACACGCCGCTCCGAAGGCAATGCCCACCCCTGAGTGACGCTCGTCTGCTCACCTTTGGCTTTCGGGGGGCTCAGCACCGAGAGCGGCAGCACTACGTGGGTGTGAGGGTCCCAGGCGGGCTGGCCCCGAAAGAGGCTGCTGTGGTAGCGGGGGTAGCGCCGGCGGATGTGGGAGTGGTTCTCCATGCGATCGATGCTCAGCACTGCAGAGGAGCAAGGGAGTGAAAGTCGGCTCTAGGATGGCCACCGAGCCACAGGCGGGGTTGTGGCTATGTCCCGTGTTTGGGCATGACGTGAAATCTCAGCACCCACAGCGCTCCTTCCCAGCCCAGATCCTTGCTCTGCCCCACAGCACACTACTTCTGCCACTGAGGCCAGCAGCTTTTTCACTGGTAGCTGGGAGTGAATAGCACACTCCAGGCTCTGCCGGCTCTAGGTGCTGTGTCAGCTGGTCCAGGAAGGGACAGGACTGGGAATTCTCTCACAAATACCTCCCCGTGTCTGAGAGAGCCACCAAGGACGTTATCAGCACCTCGCTGAGGTGAAGTGAGATGAGAAGGGGACAGGGTGTGGAGGAGTGGCTCTGCACCATCCCAGCCAGGTCCCACCATTGGCCAGCTCCTACTCACTGATGTTGGGGGTGACAACGCCGATGGGATTGAGGTAGGTGAGTTTCATGTTGCTGGCCAGCGTGCCTGAGTAGTCCCGCAGCTGCTCCATGAGGCTGGCGCCGAGTGGCAGCATGGCCCAGTGCTCCCGGTTCTCTGGGGCCAGCACGGAGCTGCCTGCGCGCAGTAGGTTCTGCATGGGAAAGACATGGGGCAGGGAGTGAGGGAGCACTGCCTTTGAGCACTGTCCTGACCACTCCCAGGCTGCAGCACTGTGCTTTCTGCTCAGCTCACTGCACGAGGGCTCAGAGAAGGGGGGTACTTTCTGCTGCAATGGGCCTCCTCTCTCAATGCTCATCGACCAGCATCCTGCAGAGACATCTGCCCTGTACCTCTGCCATGAGGGAATTGCAGGCAGCAAAAAGACCTCTCTTTGCCTTCCCAGGCTGAGCAATCCCACTTCTCTGCCTTTCCTCATCCACTCTGTGCTCCAGCCCTGGCCACGCAGGTGACCTCCACGGGCCTCACTCCTGTGGGCCAATGTCTGTGTGGCACTGGGGACCCCAGTGCTCCTGACATGGTCTCACAACATCCTCGATCCCCTCAGAGACACAGGCTCAGGGTGGCTGATAAAGAGAAGCAGCACCAGGAGCCACTCTGATCTGGGGAAGGACTCACCTCATTGAAGTGGGCGTCCTGCGTGGCTGTCAGGCCAAAGCCGCGCTGCCGGCTCTCGAAGGCCATGAGGCGGGACAGCAGGCGGAAAGTGATGTGCACATCGTTGCCAAAGTAGTGGTCCATGTGGTCTGTCACAGCCCGGAGCCGGTGGGCCAGCTTCTTGGCTTCAATTGTGTTGAGCTCAGTCTCGTTCCTCTCCAAGCCCTCCAGCTGCCAGCAGGAAAACAGGAGGGGATTAAACAATGAAGCAGGCTCCTCACTGGGAAACTGGGATGCTGCGGGCCCTGCTAGTCCCTGAGATCACTTCTGAAACCATGGCACAGCCCATGGACACTCACAGGCAGCATCTGTGGCAGACAACCAACCTCCAGCAACGCACCAGAGGTTGCACTGGCCCAGCTAACCCAGTGCTACACATGACAGAGGCCAAGGAGAGGAGAGGACAGGGCAAGCATCTTCCCTGGAAACTCTCCTGGCTTCAGTTACAATTCAGCCTAGGTGAGATGCAAGTGTTTAATAAACTTGCCTGGCTATTTCAAAGGGAATTGTCACTGACAGTCTCGGGGCTACAGATGTCCTATGGAGCAGACATCCCACCAGCTTTAAACAGTTCAGCCCTGCTCAGGGTATTTGTTTTCCTCTCAAATACTGGGGCAGGACACAGGCAATATCTGATGGGGACACTCAAATTAGATGAAGCCAAGTGGACTCCAGCTCAGATCAATGTTCCCACAGGATGGGTTTGGAGGCAGATGAGAAGAGAAAGGTGCTGAGCACTGTGGCAAGGCCCTTTTCTACTCCAGATGCCCATAGAGAGCTGAGCTCTTTAAAAGCAGGCTGTGAGCCCTTCTTCATACGGCTCCTGCTCTGTCAGGGCTGCAGAGCAGAGAGGATTACCAGCATGGAGAGCTCCTTGAAGGCAGGCGAAGTACAGTTGAAGAGATCTGGCTCCAGCCAGCCCTTCTCCTCATCGCAGTGTCTGATGGCTGCGCCTAAAACCAGGAGGAATGGCATGTGTGAAATTCAGCACAGGATACACGGCTCCCTGCTGCATCCCTGAGCAGGGACCCTCTGTACCAGCTAACCCCAAAGAGCAGCACCGGCAAGTGATGGGGACAACCTGTAACACCCTAGGGCTGTCCTCCTGCTTTGCACCAGTGCAACCCACTCTACCCTTGCTCCGCGTCACCTTGGCAAGCAGCTGCCATCCCCTCCCTGCAGGAGCTGGGTCCCTGCCTGTGCTCCAGGACTGCATCACACCAGGTGCCATAACACAGAACTGCAAAGAGGAAGAAGTGACTTGGCAGGGCTCAGGCTGGAGAAGCCCCTGGCTCCTGGTGGGAACATGTCTGTGTCCTCAGGGCACATCTGACCCCAAACCACTGAAGCCCACGCAGCCCTACGCATCCCCTGGATGGCAGCTGGCAATGTCTGCTGAGGTCCTGCCTCTCTCTGCAGAGCAAAGTCACCCCAGGAGGACACCACCCCTGCTGTGGGGCTGGCAAACCCACTCCAGAGACAAACCCCTGCAGCTGAGTGGGATGGAGTAGGACGGAGGACTCCCATCCAGCAGCGTAGACTCAGTACCCAGTGCAAGACCCTGGTCCCTGGCTGTGGCCCAAGCATCCCTGCACAGCAATGGAGACCCCAGCAATGAATGGGATCAGCACCAGAAGTGCTGCTAAAGCAGATATGGACAGCAGTGTCCCAGGCCAGCAGTGTCACCACACACACTTTGAGCAAGAGGAACACAGGTGACCCCGCTGTATCTGGCAGGACTGCGGACCAGATCCTCCTGGGGACGGCACCAGGAGCCTACCCACATGCCCATGGCTGGGAGAGGGCTGCAGCACGGCCAGGGAGGGCAGAGGGAGCCTCCAGTTGCTGCCCAGAAAAGCCCCAGTGACCAGCATGTCCACTCCCACCATTCCCAGCTCCTAGCTGTCCTCCCAAAACACCTTTCCCCAGCTGCAGAAGCACAGGGACCAGTGCCACTGCAGCTGGGAGCAGGGAGAACAAAGAAACCTCCATGCTGCTGCCTTCCCCCGGCAGGGAACAGAGATCAGCAGAGAACAGAGCTCAGCTCAGCCGCAGATCTGGGCAGGATCTGGCCCCCGGGTCCCTCTGCCTCCCCCTGCCATCCAGGCAGAGGGAACAAGACCTTGTGCTGTGCAAGCTCACCAACTCCTGCCCCATCCTACTGCTCCCCTGCTCAAACAGCTCCCCCTTCCTACCTTCCACAGCCATTCCTCCATGGCCTCACTGCCCATTGCTCACCACCAGCTCCTTCCCATCCCAAGCAAGCATGTACCAGCCCAGGAAAGCCAGCATCCATCCCAGCCAGGGAGCAGAGCATAGACCCGTCCAGAGCCAGCACTGCAGGCTCAGGACAGTGGGTGGCAGGGGCTGCATGTGGCTGCAGCCGGGGTTGTGCTGGTTACTGTGCTGGGAGCAGGGAAGCGGTGTGGAGGAGCGGTGAGGCCAGGCAAAGCGTTGGGAAGACACTCAGCAGCTCCAGAAGCAGCAGGGAAAGTGCAGGGGTGTACAAGGTGCCAGGCAAGGAGCAGGGAGGGAAAGCCGCATGGCACAGCCCTTACAACACAGGGGGAAGGAGATGGGAACAACCTTACCTGCACCCCTCAAGCCTGAGCACGGAGGGCGAGAGAACCGGGGAGAGAAGCGACAACAGTTAGGAGCTGAACCTGCCTCCTCCTGGGGCGAATGGCTGGAGAAGGACAGGGTTTGTATTGTCCCCTGGGGATCACGCTGCCCTACAGTCCCAGACACCCTGCTCGCACCTTGGCCATCACTGGGGACAGCCTCCTGCAGCTCAGGATGTGACTCCTACCCAAGACAGTCACCTCATGGCAGCTGTGCCCCGCTCACGGTGCACACCGAGGATGGGGCTGCAGCAAGGTGCCAAGCTGCCATGCCAGGCCTGACCCCAGCACCAAGCCTGCTGAAACCAAAATGCAGCAGGGAGAAGGTGGGGAGTGAGGCCGAGGGAACAGCATAGCCCTGGGGCTGTGTGACAGGCCTAGACCATACAGCCTGTTCCCAGCTCCAGCCCCATGTCCAGACCCCTCTGCTCTCCCCCAGGCTGTGGCATTTTCTCCTCCAACTTCCTCCTCCCAGCCCTCAAGCCCAGTTAAACAAGACTGGGACAGCATCAGAATAGTGATATTGCTGGGGCTGCTACAGCATCCAAGCTGCCCCCTCCCATCCTCATCGCGTACCCCACTCACCCAAGGAGCCTTTGGGACACAGCACCGCAGCTGAGAAGCCAAATTTGGTCTGAGGCCACCACACACCCGCTTTCAGGCTTTTGGGGCAGCCGTCATAGAGCACTATAGAGAAACACACCCCGTGGGGCTGGTCACAAGGGGAGGCCATGGACACCGAGCCCCACGGCACCCGCTCCCAGTGCCCACGCTCACCCTCGCAGCCACTGGGCGTCACCTCGGCAAAGGGGCTGTCGCAGCTGTTGCACTGGCGCCCAATGACCCCGGGCCGGCAGTGGCACCGTCCTGTCTCCTTGTCGCAGGAGCGCGAGGTGGAGCCCACGGGGTAGCAGTCGCAGGGCAGGCAGGCGTCGCTGCCTTTGGGGCGGTAATGGAAGTCCTGGGGGGAGACGGGGACAGCCATCAGACAGCCCATTGGGACAGCAGCCGAGGCCACTGCATGGGGAACCACTGGAGCTGGGGCAGGGAAGGGTCCGGCTCTCCTGATGTGCAAGCACACCCACTGCCCCCATCGTCCTCATGCTGGGGCAGGAGGGCCGCACAGAAGAGCTGAGCCAGGATCCAGCCCAGGGGTGGATCTGGCAGCTGCCAGGCCTTCAGGGGGGACAAGGAATAGCATCAAAATGAGCTGGAATCCAGGCAAGCCATGGGCCGTGGCCCCATGGGCACAGCTGCCCCTCACCTTGCAGCGGCACTGCCCGTTGGTTTTATTGCAGTCGGGGTCAAAGCCCTTGTTCACGTCGCAGTTGCAGGGCCCGCAGGTGGGGTTCCCCCACCAGCCCTTCGGACACTGCTGGTCCATCCTAGGGAGAGAAATGCCTCTGCTGTTACAACAACCAAATCCCCCCAGGCCTTCTCCTCCCACCAGCCCAGCTGCTCAGCAGCTCTAAGAAGCTGGGCAGTACCAATAGGTCCCCAGTCGGAGCCAGGATGAGAGGGCAACACAGAGCCACGCACAGGGGCCACGGCCCTGCCCTGTGCCCCACATCTCACCTGTGCTCGCAATACTGCCCGAAAAAGTTCCCTCCACACTCGCACACGTAGCCTAGGGGTGAGCCCGGCTTGCGGCGACACACAGACTTGTTCTTGCAGGGGTTGAGGTGACACACATCCACGCAGTCCCCTCCATAGTATCCTGAAACGTGGACAGAGAGCACCATGTAAAGAAAGCACCTTTCCCCAAGAGGGACCAAAGACCAAGTAATGGATTCAAGGGCCTCTGGAGGGATTATGCCCTTTACAAAAATTCTCGAGCGTTTGGTGGGCATTTCTGGGCACAGCACTGGCCCAAGGGATGGGCAGGAGAGCAGGCATAGGCCAGGAGGGAGCCACAGGAGGAGAGGAGAAGACAGATGGTGTGGAGAGCAAAGGGGTGGTAGGGAGGGCGCTGCAGGCCCTACCTGGCTGGCAGACGCAGGAGTAGCTCTGCCACTCATCCTTGCAGATGCTGTTGGCTGGGCAGGGGCTGGAGTCGCAGGGGCTGGGCACGCTGCAGCCAGCTTCCACCCTCAGAGCATGGCTGGGCTTGGGCAGCACGGTCCCGGTGACGCTGTCACCCAGTCGCACACCCTGCAACATAGGTGACAAATTCACAGTGAAACTGGTACAGACACGCAAGGCTCCAGTCCTCCTGCCCTCCACGAACCCCCAGGGGCAGCCACTCCCCATTACTTCAGCTGCATTGATTTTTAGCTGCCTACAGCATCTCAGAGCCTTGAGTGCTCAGAGGGAGAGTGTCACCAGCAGGATGGACGCCAGCAGTGGGTGCCAGGCATGTATTTCTACTCCTTCATGTAACGGAGCTGCTGGAAAGAGAAGGCTCAGAGCAAAGGACTCACCTGTATGCAGCCCCTCAGCCCATTCTGCACCTCGCCAGAGTCCAGGACTCCCCCCACGTGCAGGTGTTTCACTTTCAGGCCATGCAGTTCACTTCCAACAACCACCGTGTCCTGCGGAAGGTGAGTAACAAGCGGCAACTGGCATCAACCCTGCCCCAGCGCTGTCCCTCTCCTGTCCCAGTCCTCTCTGAGGGTGCAGAGGCCTGGCCCAGCCTGTGTGTGCCAAGCAGCCCCCACAGTCCCTGTCCTGCTGCCAGGGTCTCACGCAGAATGTACCTGGTAGAGCCCAAAGTCCAGGGTGAGGGTGATGACGTAGCGCGAGTCTCGCCCGCTGCGGACGTCCCGCAGCTCCAGCTGGAGGTCGTGCCACCTCCCATCGCTGAGCTGTAGCTGGTCCAGGAGAAGGCTGGTGCTGCGCCCGGAGCCCCTGCTCACCATGAAGGAGAGCAGACCACCAGCCAGCTGTGGAAAGGAACCAGCAATGGCAGCACTGAGTGAAGGCCTTACCAACTCTGAGCATGGGGAGGGAAACCCAGGCCTGCTATACACCTCTCACCATAACCACCCTCCACGTGGGCAGGGTCCTCCTGCTCTCCTGGGGTGGGTGGCAGCAGAGGCCGGGCACGGCGCTGCGGCTGAGGCCGTGGCCCTACCTGGCAAAGCAGCATGGTGTACTGGCCAGCATAGGCCTGCAGAAGAACCCCATCTGGCTGGCGTGTCCGAAATGCCAGCCCGAGGTACCACGGCACCGAGATCTTCACATCTGTCTTGAAGTCCCAGGTCAGGACACTGTTGCCATGGAAATAGTGGGCATGGTGCATGGCTGGAAAGGAAAGTGGAGGTGAGAAGGGATGGGCACTACACAGGGAGCACTAGATGCAGGGCCAGCAGTGACAGCTCATTTTGCATGGACCCCCTACCCTGCTACCACAGCAAACTCAGCACAATCTTGCCTGTACCCGCCCTGCCCATGCCCAGCAGCACCCGTTCACTCACGGTGGCGGCAGTCTTTGCCCCCGAAGCCAACAGGACAGAGGCAGGAGTAGGTCCCCCAGCTGACAGAGCAGGTGCCACCATTCTTGCAGGGGCTGGAGTCACAGAACGTGTGCTTGGCATGGCAGCCTGGAGGTATCAAAGTCATCTACATCAGCTTTGACCCGCTCACCACCTCCCTCCAACCTGCATGGGGGGACACCATTGCCCCCCAGCCCTTTCCTTGGTTGCCAGAGGGTCAAGCCCAGCCACACAGCCTCTCGGCACAGGCCTTGCCTGCCAGGGATGAGGGTCAAGGCTGTTGCTGCTCCTTATGCCAGAAGACACTGCAGAGCTGGACTGACTACCTAGCACCTCCTAGACGGGCCAGCTATGCAGGCTCTGCACGTGGGATCAGGGGACATTCCCACAACATTAACTGGGGTGCGGACTGGCTTGTTTAGGGGGATCTGGGGGCCCTGTTCTCCGATGAGAAGCCGCTTAGCTCCAGCTGTGCTGCTGTGACTCTGTTACAGCCCAGCAGTGATTGGGAGAGGCCATTCCCAGGGCAGGGGCCAGCAGGAGCAGAAGCACTGGTACCTGCTGCAGTTCCGTTGTTGGCGATATAGGAGGCCAGGTCGATGCGTTTGCTGTCGATGTACAGGTCTCTCATGCATCCCACAAAGTCCCGGTGAGAGACAGGGAAGTTTTCTGGCAGGTTGGGGACCCCTCCAAGGAGCAAGGGACCTGTGAGGTCCAGGGACCTACAGGGACAGAAGCCCAGGGCTTTAAGTGACTTCAGGCCACCCAGCTGGCTCCCCAGCACGAGCAGCTGGGAATCAGACATCCCTGGGGACAGGCACACAGGACCAAGGCCCCTGGAACTACAGAGCTGTGCCAGCTGTGAAAGGCTGACTTTGCAGAGGACCCAGGTGCCCCCTCCTTTCCCAACATCATCCCTGAGGAGCTCACTTCTTCGAGCTGGTCTGCACACCCTCTGCGGCGCAGGAGTAGTTCCCTATTTCGCTGCCAAACTGCAGGGCTACCGAGGCATCACATTCGTCCACTGTCAGGATGGCCACCTTGTCCTTGGAGGGGCCCTGCACCACCCCCAGAGCGCTGACCTTGGGCTGAAACCAAATGCAGGGCATTAGCAGCACACAAACTCTCAGGCCCAGGCACTGCTGGAGCGCGAGAGGATTAAAAGGGACATCTCTGGCTGAGCCCAGCAAGCCAGGCCAGAGGTGGATATGGGTGTGGATACTGTGTGGAGCACATTCCTGCCACCCCTAAGTGTGGTCCTGAGGGTCAATCTCCCTCTGCACCCATTCCCAAGGGCAGAAAACCACCTCTGCCTTCTCTCCACAGCCTCCCCCATGAGACAGAGCTGGAGAACAGAAGAATCAGAGCGGCTTACTCACACCTCGCAGGGAGGGAGATCCACGCGTGCGTGAGGACAGCCAGGGCGCACGTACCTTGTTGTAGTAGTGGAGCTGCAGTGTGTGCCACTGCCCATCGCTCACACCCCCCGGCAGGTAGGGGCTCACCACCGTGCTGGACTCTCCTGTGGAGACAGGGGTGATACACGCTGAGAAAAGCCAGGCAGCCCGGGAACGCACCGCCCCTCCTGCAGGCACCAAACCCTCTGTGGTCCTGATGGCCTCGGCGTCCTGGCACTGTGTGGCTGGCCTCTCATCAGCCACTTGCTGCTGGGCTTGGCCCTGAGGAGGTCAGTGTGGCCACAGCAGAAGCAGGATGGCCACCAGGCGCTGCACGCAGAGGAGAGGGGAGGAGCACTGGACACAGGACTGGAGGGAAGCCTCAGTTGTTAACACGAGGGCCCAGTGCTCCTTGCAGCTGATCCTTGGGGCAGGCAGGATGGGGACAGCAATGGCACGAGGAAGCAGGGATGAGACCAACAGAACAGCAAACAACCTCCCAGAGGCTCCTCCTCTCCAGACCAGCTTAAGACAAGGCAGGAGATGAAGCTGAAGCTGATGACACAGGAGGCCTCAAAAGGGTTTATCCTGGTTTGTGCTCATGCCCCCGCTGCTGCACTTGAACTCCTAAGCCTTGGGAGGGTCCTGAGACACACACCCATCCTCTGTGCCATCTGCTGATGCTCACCAACCCCATTCCTTTGAGCACAGGCTTCATCTAGGGCAGCACCCCGCTCTCCCTGCTCAGTGCAGGCCTTCTCATAGCTCCCACAGCACAAACCCCACAACAGGCAGGGCCAAGCCTACCTGTGGAGTATTTCAGCTGGACCTGTCCCTGTATGATCTCCACCGCCAGGAAGTCGTGCCTCTCGTTCAGGCGCCCGTTGTAAAGCAAGAGGCCACTGGGCTCCATGGTGCTGAACCTGGGGAAAGGGAGGAAGCGGGAGGGCAGGGTGCATGCGAGGAGCACACAGAGATCCCCACTCTCCCATGGCACGGCACCAGCATCCGCATACAGGGACAGGGTGAGACTCAGGACGGGCCCTGGGTGCAAGCCCAGCTGAGAAAGGGTTGGGAGCTTGATCCAGCGGTTGCTTTGTGAGCATGGGGGGCCTGGTATGACAGCAGAGGTCTGGCAGCAGGGAAGGGCAGAGGCACTGCAGGAAGGGATGAGCCGATGCCAGAGGACACAAGGAAGTGCAGATGCAGAGTCCTTTGGCTAAAGACACCAGGACAGCTCCATGACAAGTCAAAGCTGGTAACACAGGGGTCTGGAGAGTACCAGCGAGTCCCTGGACAGGCCCAGGGTGCACAAGACCCACCAGAGCGGGGCCAGGCAAACTAGCAGGTGCTGGTGCCCAGCAGGGGAAGGAGAGGACTCACGAGAGGGAGAGGGTGAGGTGGAAGCGCTGGCGCAGTCCCCGGAACATGACGAAGGATCGCGGTGGGAAGGAGCGTGTGGACACCTCGCAGAAGGGCGTCTCGAAGCTCCCCGCCGGGCACTGGCAGCGGAAGCCCCCGTCAGCGCTGTTGGTGCAGGTC